AGACTTCTTGAGCTACAACAGGATTACACCCCACTAAGCCTACTGTAGCTCACAGGTGCTGTTTTGGATCCTCCTAACCTAGGTAACAGCCTCTTTGTCCTTCTACAGGCCCAGGACACTCCCATGGGGTTGCCCCTGGGCAGAGTCCTCCAGCACAGAGCCTGCTTTGCAACACCCTGGTGGACATCTCCGGTGATACACTGATCACTGCATTGCAAGTGAGAACCAGAGTGGCTGTATGGGTTTCTTCTCTCTCTCTCTCTTTTTTTTTTTCCACACCACATGAAGTAAAAGATTGTTCAGTTGAACCTCAGTAAATTTCAGGCTGTCTGAAATTCTTTTTTTATTTTAATTTTTTAACATTAAAAAAAAAAACCCTATAATTTATTTGGTACAGGGCCTCACTGCGCAGCTTGGACTTGTAGTGATGCTCGTGTCTCAGCTTCCTCAGTGCTGAGATTACAGTGGTATACTACCACTCCTGGTTTCAGTGGCCAGCGCAGCATGCAGTACTGGGGATTGAACCCAGGTCCTTGTGCTTGCCAGGCAGGTGCTTAGACTGCTGAGCTATCTCCCTAGCAGGAAGTTCTTAATGTGAGGTCCACATGTGTAATAATTGGCTATGGCACGCCAGAACATAAGGTATTTTGTTAGCAGAATTTAGGGTGATTTTACTTTGCCTCTTGGCAAGGGGCTGTCCCAGGTTGGTTGGGCGCTGGTGCAGGTGCCGTCCCCGGTGAGGTTCCCATGGCCCTCTACCCTCAAAGTGCTGCTGACACCATTCCAGGTCTCCCACACACACTTCGGTGACAGCGATAATAAAAGAACTTCACTCAAACAGGGAGAAACTATGCAGGACTGCAAACTCACAGCTGGGTTTCTTTTCCATGAACTGCCTTTTACAGTAGATGACGCAGAGGATGAGGAGGGCCAGCAGCACGGTGGCCAGAGCACTGCAGATGACCGCGGCCAGGGCTGTGTCCCGAGGGCTGGAGGCTGTGGACGCAATCTTCACAAGGTTGACCTTGCTGGTACCTAGAAGTGGCAGGGGTGGGACTGGAGCACACAGAATGACTCAGGGCATGCACTGCTTCCCTGCGGTTCAGGGAATCTCTAGCAACAGCCTGCGTGGGACAGAGATAAAATCAGCAGCGACTAGGATGTGTCCTAACATTCTTTCCTCTTAGATTTCTTTCATACTGCATCTATGTCCTGTACCTCAAAATGTGTTGGCAGTCCCTCTCTTACACTCCTACAGCACATGCATACGCAGTGCTCAGTGCAATTCAGCTGCAGAAATCTGCTGTGAGTCCTCTAGACAGGAAAGCTGGGTGCTGCGGTCTTGACCTCTGGAGCCCCGCAGCTCAGCAGTGTTGGGCACAGGGTAGTTTCAGGGAAGAGCAAATTATCTTTTCATCCTCTGCAGACCCACTGACACAACTGCAGCAGACTGGGGCCGGGGAGAAGACAGGCACGTCTATTTCTGCACACAGGGGCAGGTGCCCAGCAATCTCATTGGTTCAGATGCTTATGTGCCTTTCTCCATGGGGGAGAAGAAATGGGGGTACAGGATATGTGTGGGGGACAGTAAATGATGACTAGGGCATGGCCGGCCTGGGGACCAGGTACTGGCTGGTGAATGAGTCTCTTCAGGAACTGAATGAAATAAAAATGCAGAACAGTCTCTCCTGACAAAGATGATCTAGGCACAGGGACATTTTCAGTCTCAATTTATGCAACAGGAGTTAATCCTTTCTGTTTAATAAATTCTCAGGGAGGGGATCTAACTCCACTGTGCTCCCCTAAGTCAGTAAGGGAACTTCACAGAAGATCTTCTTTCCTACAATAGGCTGACCCTGGGTGTCTGTAATTTAACATAATCAGCATAGCAGGGCACTACATTTGGGGCATGTTTCTGGACTCTGTCAGTAGGCAGTTAATATTTCTGATTTAATTTGAATTGGGCTGTTTTCAGGAAGATGGAGAAAACATTTTCACATGTAATTTTAAATTGTCCAGAAAGTACATTTTAAAAAGTTTTAAAAAGACAAAATTAATTTCCTAGTTTACTTGACCAATATTTCAACATGTGTTCAACAGGAAATTGTTAATGACGTCTTTAAGTGTCCTTTGCTTTCTACAAAAATCTCAAAATCTGGTGTGATTTTGCGAGCAGCCTGTCTCACGGTACAGGCTCAGCGGATGCATCCTGAGCCTTCCCCCACCCCAGCTATGTGTCCCCAACCAGCAAGACTGTTCTCTTGCTGACACAGCAAGAACTGGAGAGAAACACACGGGTTAATGTTGAATTCTAACAGAGGGACAGCTGGAACTATCATTTTGGGTGTGAGTCCTGGTATTTTTAGTCTCAACAATTCTGGGTTACACAGATAAAAGTTTCTTCACATGAGCTGCATGCCTTAGGCTGGATGAAGAGGAGCTATAATTCAATCTTTGTCTGTAACCACGTATAATGTTCATTTTGTAGTATTGGGAATTGAACCCACGGCTTCTGCATGAGCTACAACCCTAGGAAACCCACTCTTCCCCAATCTCTTTTTTTTTTTTGAACCTATGATCCACCTGCCTCAGCCTTCCAGATTTAGAGTTGTGTGTTATCAACATGGCTTAAAAAATAGTTTTAACAATTTGCAATTGTATCATAAAAAAAGAAATACTATCATAATCCAATAAAACATACTAAATGTTCATCATACAGTAAATTAAATAGATCACACCCCAACATGAGTGGGATTAAATCTGATCTTTTTTTTGGTACCAGGAATCAAACTCAGGCCCTCATGCTTGCCAGGCAGGTACTGTGCCACTGAATCCCAGGCCTGATTAAATCTAAATCTCAAACTGCCTTTATCAGTGGACAGAGTTGCAAAAGGACACAGGTCCAGCGGTACAAACACTGTCAAATAACCCAGTAGAAGCTCATATCCCGTGTAAGTCAGCACAGCAAGTCACCCCAGCTGAATCTGGGGTGACTCAGAAGTGGAAGTCATCTCTTCAGGCCAAAAGGTGAAGCTGCGCAAAGCCATCATCTAACCATATTGTTCGCTTTAGAGTGGGGACAGGTCCCTGAGCTTAAATCCTGGTCACACTCCAGCCCTGCCCAGCAACAGCTGCCGTCCCACTGAGGCACAAGGTGTGATGTCAGCAGAAGCCCCCAGAGTTCTGCCACCGAAACTGTTCAGTTGACCCATCGGTCAGCACTGGTGACTCAGAAAACTCCCAGCAAGAACAGTGACTTAAGGTGAAAGCAGGATCCTTTAAGAGTTCTTTAAATTTTCACTATTCAAAATTCTTCCAGAATACAGCAATCAACTTAACACAAAGGAATTGCCTCTAACTCATAAATGTGTTAACATGTCCTCAGAGAAGGTGGGATTTTATTTTTAATTTGATAGTTTGCACCTCTGGATTTATTTTCTAGAAAGGCGAAAGTCTTAATAGTATACATTTTTCCAAGACAGAGCACTAATACTATAGTTTCAATGATATCAAATTGCCACAATATCAGTTCTAAAGGAAAGTATGCCAATACCTTCCTTCTCTACTGATTGTTCCAGGCAGTGGCATCTAAAGAACAAGAACAACACCTAAGTTTTATATCTTGATTCTTGACCTCTCGATAAGAAAAGCCACTGCTTAACCCCAGCACTCTCCAAGAGCTCCCAAAGGCCCAGGCTTGAGAGCCACACTCTTGATTCTTGTTAAGTGTATGAGTTTATGCAACACTTAGCGCAAGTCACTGCTTTCACTGATAAAGGGTTAGTTTGTCCTCTCCGGCTCGTCATTTGTACCTTTAACTGCCACAACACAGCAATATAAATACAAACATAAATATGCATTCTATGAAGAGTCAGGGCTGATTGTTAGAATAGCTCCAAAAACTCATTCATGTAAGTTCTGGGTTTAAAAAGCCCATTTCTAAAGAAAAATTTTAAAAATGTTTAGTTTAGTTTTTTCTTTCTACAAAAGGAAATTTATTTCAAAAGCATAAGGTAACACATATTTAAACAAAGTGATAAATAGGTGTCTTGTAAAGGAAAAATCCATGGTGTGAAGCTTTTTGTTTTCATTTTTAGAGCAAAACGCGCTACTTACTGCCTTAGGAAAGTGAAGAGAACAGTGAGTGTGGGGTAGGAACAGTGCCAAACCAACAGCAAACTAGAGCAAGTCAAGTCACCTCTGTTCAGCTTTAAATGTACAAAAGTGCTTATACAAAGGAAAACATTGCACTCAGTGTTCGAAGTGATACAGCTGGGGCCCCAACTTAGTTTCTGAAATGGAAAAAACTCATTTTCTTTTATCTGTCTCATTTGAGCAGTGAAAAAAATGGGAGGAGGGGAGCTTTGTTTCCGATATATGAAATGACTGCTGCGCTATTGCATTCTGGCCAATTGAGATACTCCTGAGAGCTCCTCCAAATAGGACTTCTGTACTACAAACTAGAAAGCATCACTTTAATGATATTATTACTCTAAAACATAGGCTATTGAGCTTAACATCAGTATCTGTCTAAATATCAAACACCTTTGCTTCTCTTCTGGAGGGTTAAAAACGTAAGTTTGCAGACCAAAAATTAGAGAAAAAGAAGGGCTACAAGGATAGACAACATTTTGGTCTAGCCCTTCAAGGTCAATGAGGACTCAGGACATAGGAGAACTTGTAACATCATGTAACTCAGTAGTGTCCCAAATTTTCTGATCAAGGAGATTATGGGGCCACAGAGGAAAGTGATCGATGATGTACAGTGTGCCTAAGGAGGGTCACATGGAGAGAAAACATTCTCTCAGGCTTTCTCAGAGAGCAAACTGGTCAAGCAATGGCCATGACTCATCCACACGGCTGACACTGAAAAAAGATCTAAAAACTGCTGTACATGGTTTCAGGGTAAATCCTGAGGGGATTTGACTGACCTTATCAAATACAAAAGTTACATTTCTTGTTATAGAGGTCTTGCTTTATTTTGGTCTTAATCATCCAGCAGAATAGTATAAAAAATGAGGCATAAAAAGTGAAGCCATATTAATATGCTGAGCTGTAAAAGGCTCAAGTCAACAACTTCTGCCAGTCATGCGGATAACCTACTACTATTATAGACTACTGGACTATATCAGATTACTTTTCTGAATTCATGCACCTACAATATATGAATGGCAATGGAATACCCATCTCTGATAAAAGTAAACAAAAAGTAGGATATAAATGAAGGACCATTTTGTAGTGAAAAAATATATATCTGTATATGCAAAATAGGGTAGATATACAGCTACTTTCTTTTAGTTCAATGAGAAGAAAGTTTTGAACTAATAGTGTTTAGACAAGATATCATGTCTGCATCTTGTGGTATGAATAACTACTACACAGAAAACAATATGCAATGTATTAATTATTGTAACTGTCCTACTAACCTGTTTCAAAACTGTCTCATTGCTACTTCTTTCTCAATAAAATTTATGTATATATATATACACATCACCTCGCCATGCACTGATGCTAGCCTCCTCCTGTCCCCGTGCAGCGCCTGCAGTTCCTACCCAGCCCACTAAACATATGGGATTTTTCACAAGGAATATTACCCACAACTCTTTAGAACTCTCAAGAATGAGAAATAGGGACATTCACATTCTTTAGAAACTTATCACTTTTTCTGATCACAAAGGCATTTCTTACCCTAACTGGTTAAGTTAGAAGATTCCACCTTACTCTTAGTGCTGCCCTTTGGCAATTACTTCAGAGTGAGGACAGTTTTCTTAGCTTCAATTTTACATGCGTCATGTGGCATCTACACACAGGAATGATTTTACACTCCGTGTGCATGCGGGTTCTGCTCTGTTGGGCACCACATGCTGAGTGTCTGGGATGAGTCTGACATCCTACAAGGCACTAGATAAGCTGAAGAAACCAAGGGAAGGGAAATAAGCCGCCAGCAAAGTTTGGCAAGTGTTCTGCCAATCTCCAAAGGTGACCCTCTTTGGAGTGTGACCCAGCTAAATATCTGCATCTCACTCGTGAAGGAG